ATGAGATACGGCACGGCGGGAGCTTGGGCGGAGAACTTTCTCCTCAGATCAGTAGGAGCAGATCCACCTACCGACCTAGGCACCTGGAAGGACTTTTTAGCAAAGTTCAAATTACAGTTTAGGGAGACGGGCAAGACCGACAAAGCGCGAAGCGCTCTCATGGCCTTCTCCCAAGGACGAATGACGGTTGATGAATACTCCAACCAATTCATTCTCATTGCCGCCGATGCCGACATCTCCGAAAAAGAGCAGGTCCCTTACTTCCAACGCGGACTAGACCCGCGCGTCATGGACAAAATATATGACAAGGAAGTTCAGCCCAAGGATACCATTCAGGACTGGATCAATACAGCCTGCGAAATAGATGGACGGCTGCGGGCCAGAACAGCTCAAAAGGCCATCCTCGCCAACTCCACCTCCTTTCAAAGTGATTATCTGAATCGTTTCCATAACCAAATCTCTCCCCGCTACAACTCCACAAACGCCCCTCGCAGAATGAACAACCAAGTCGTTGACATGGACATTGACGCGACACGCAAGCGCAATGCCCTTAGCCAAAAACGGAAACATGACAGCAAGCCTCCTGGCGCTTGTTACTACTGCGGAAAAACAGGACACTGGAATACTGACTGCCCGTCACTACGCAGAGGCGTTCGACCGATTCGAGGAAACTCGAAGAGACGCATGGGTACAACAGGGAGAAGAAGCCGCGCAGTTGATTTGGAAGGAGAAGACGACGCACCCGTTATGGGAGACCAAGCGGGAATATATCGAGGAATGGAGACAGAGGATGTTCATCGCAACAACCAGCGGGTACCACAACCTGGTCCTTTGATGGAACGTCCTCACTCTACCCCATCCGGACAACCCCAGACAAACCATGGGCAGCGCGCTATGCTACCTAACGGACGACGGGGGGACGGAAGCGTCAGTCATTCTGCTCGAATCGGAGCAGTGCTCGGAGAACTAGGAGAAGATGAAGCAAGAGAAGTGATCTTGGGACACGCGGAGCGTTTTTCCTGACCTCTCCCTCACCAGCGAAGGAGAGAGGTCAAGAACGACCCGAGTTTGATGCCCGCACTTGTATTCGTATCGGAGCAATGAACGACCGTATCATCACCCCCATACGCCTGAACGTGAAGGTATCAAACAGAAGTCAAAACACTGGAGCAAAGGCAACCATCGACTCGGCATGCGAAGGAGTAATAGTAAATGAAACTTGGGTTAGGAAACATCGTTTTCCCACCTACACACTCAACAACCCCATTCGCGTCCGGAACGTCGATGACACCATTAACAAAGCAGGTCTCATCCGATCCACCTTGGATGTGAACCTCACCATTCGGGACATCAGGGGACGAACGCACACTGAGCGCATCCAGATGTTTATCTCCAATCTAGGGAAAGACGACCTTATCCTAGGAACAGATTGGTTGAAATACCACGATCCCTCCATCGAATGGAGGCGACGTGAAGTGCACTTTGATCGGTGCCCCCAGAAATGCCAGCAACCATATGGGTTCACTAGGGCAAGGGAAGAACCGCCATACAGTAGGCGGTTATCAGACGTGGAGCCACGGCACAAACCACGCATCAATGAGCGCGAAAAACAGCGCCTAGAACATCTCCGAAGACTATCGGAAGATGTAGGACTCCGCGACCATAGCGGAACGTTTGGTGTCCAACTACGAGCATACCTCAAAAGGAAATGGCTCCTAAAGGACATAAGGAAATACGCAGAAGAAAAGCGAAAGGCCCAAGACAAGCCATCTCTTTCACCAAACGAGGGAGAACCTGATCTCCCAGACAAACCCTCAGGAAAACAGGCCACCCGGGACCCAGTTATTCGGAAACTGGCCCCCGAACCGTCAGGATTTGCCAGCTTTGACCAAGACCTGGAAGACGAAATTATCGTCACCAATCTAAAGGAAAGAGTTCCCAAGGCGCATCACGAATTTTTGGACATCTTTAGCGAACGAAAGTCGCAGCGACTCCCAGAACACACTTACTGGGATCATGCCATTGACTTGAAACCAACTTTCAAACCTCAAGTGCCCAAAATCTACGCCCTGAGCCCAGAAAAACACGACGAATTAGGAAAATTCATCAAAGAACATCTGGAGAGAGGAACCATCCGTCGATCCACCTCGCAAACAGCAGCCCCATTTTTCTTTATAGGAAAAAAGGATGGAAAACTACGCCCGGTACAGGACTATCGCCACTTAAATTCGCACACCATCCCGAATGTGTGCCCCCTTCCACTAATCCAAGAACTACTGGACGTGATAAAAGGGGCCATCATTTTTAGCAAATTGGATGTGCGATGGGGATACAACAATATATGCATCAAAGAAGGAGATGAGTGGAAGGCGAGCTTCATCACTCCGTTAGGTTCTTATGAACCTACGGTGATGTTTTTCGGCCTAACCAACTCACCAGCCACCTTCCAAGCTATGATGAACATGATCTTCAGAGAGCTCATCACAGCCCGGAAGATAACCGTATATATGGACGACATCCTCGTTTTCTCCAAAACCATGGCGGAACATGTTAAAATCCTAAATCAGGTTTTCCAAATCCTACGCTCTATATTTGAAACCCGAAAAATGCGAGTTTTACAAGGAAAAGCTCCAATATCTGGGATATACAATTTCAAAAGACCATGTCGCCATGGAGGACTCAAAGGTGGACGCGATAAAAGATTGGCCAACCCCACGCACAGTCCGCGACATTCGCTCCTTCCTGGGTCTAGGGAATTTTTACAGGCGCTTTATTGACAAGTTCTCACTCATCGCGCGCCCCCTACATGACCTCACCAAAAAGGACGAGAAATGGAACTGGACTGCAAAATGCCAAGAAGCTTTCGAACGGTTAAAGAAAGCCTTTATCAGTAAACCCGTCTTGAACTATCCAGATCCCATGCACCCATATCGATTAGTAACGGACGCATCACTAATCGCCTATGGAGCCACCCTTCTACAAGAAGGAAAAGATGGCGACTGGCACCCAGTCGCTTTCCTCTCGGGATCGTTTTCACCAGCAGAGCGGAATTACGATGTTCACGACCGGGAACTCTTGGCTATAATAAAAGCATTGGAACACTGGAATCACTACCTCGAAGGCGCACGACACCCCTTCGAGATTTGGACAGATCATAAAAACCTGGAACACTTCCAAACGGCGCGAGACCTATCACGACGACACGCCCGTTGGAGCCTTTATTTGAGCAGATTCGACTTTACACTTAGCTACAAAGCAGGATCAACAAATCACTCCGATGCTCTGTCCAGGCGTCCAGATCTAAGTGAGGGGGTAGAATCTGACAACAAATCTCAAATTTTACTCCCGGCCAAGCTTTTCAACAAATCCGACGAAACATTGGTAGAACCGTCCCCGACACGGCATATAAAATCCACGGAAATCGCCTCTTCGAACCTCATTTCCCTCATCCGACACTCGAAATCGGAACATGACACCTTAACAAGAGTAGCTCTTGCAAAACTCCTGCGAGTAGGTCCACAAGGGATGAGAGGATTACTGGGACATTGGACACATGAAGACGGAATCACCAGACGCAACGGCCACATATGCGTCCCAAAGGACGACGTCATCCGAAGACTCATCGTCAAAACACACCATGACGCACCCGCGGTAGGACACCCGGGTAGAGCGAAAACATTGGAAATGGTGCAACGATACTACTGGTGGCAAAACATGACTAAATTCGTCCACGAATATGTGGATGGATGTGCCATATGCCAATCTACAAAGAACTTGACACACAAGACACACCCACCTATCCACCCTCTGGAAACCACCAACGTCCCTTGGCGATTCATCTCGACGGATTTCGTCACGGACTTACCCGAAAGCAAAGGTTTCGACTCAATTAACGTGGTAGTGGATCAAGGTCTGTCAAAAGGCATAGTCATCACCCCATGCAAGAAAACGATCACGGCAGAAGAAACAACCGCGCTTTTCCAAAATAACGTTTTCAATCGACATGGACTGCCGACCAAAATAGTATCCGATCGGGGCCCTCAATTTGCGGCCAAGTTTACCCGAGAACTCTGGACACGGCTAGGAATCACCGCCGCTCTCAGCACGGCTTATCATCCCCAAACAGATGGAGAAACGGAACGGGTAAACCAGGAGATCGAACAATTCCTGAGAACGTTCTGCAACTACCATCAAGACAATTGGGTAGACCTTCTGCCGTTTGCCGAATTCTCGCATAACACACGGAAGCACTCGGCCACCGGAAAATCCCCTTTCGAAGTGCTATACGGCTTCAATCCTCCCTATTCAGCTGACACGGCACTGGAGACAAAGGTACCTGCGGTAGCTGAACGCATTAAGACGATCATAGAAGTTCAGGAAGAAGCCGCTGCTAGCTTACAAATAGCCAGCAACTACGCCAAAGACCGGGATCTTCACAGGAAACTCCCCCAATGGGAAGAAGGAGACCAAGTATGGCTAGAAGGAACCCATATTCGGACAACCCATCCTAAGTTCAAACTCGCCCCTAGGTGATATGGCCCTTTCAAGATACTGGGAAAAGTGGGAACCCTGGCGTACAAACTCCAAATTCCTCCGCAGTGGAAGATCCACCCGGTATTCCACGCCGCAGTGCTCACTAAATATAGAGAGACCGAAGCCCACGGAGAAAACTTCGCGCGACCAATACCGGAAGTATTGAACGATGAAGAACACTACGAAGTAGAAATGATCGTGGACTCAAAACGGCAAGGACGGGGAACCAAATACTTGGTCAAATGGATGGGATATCCCGAAGCAGACAACACCTGGGAGCCCTACGCTCTCCTAAAAGGAACGGCAGAAGAAGCCATGAAAGATTTCCATGACCAATACCCTGACAAACCTCGTTCGGGAACAGCCTGAGAGGAGGGACGAAAGATTATAAAAGGAGCAACGAGAGGACTCCAACCAAAAACATCTTCTCACCCTTTTTCCTCCTCTCAAACACATCCCCCATTTGAATGCTCCTCCACGACGACCACGATGCTTCGTCTCCATCCAGAAACTCCTCCCCCGATGTTGTCCTTATGGTCGCCAATCCAGATGTCGAACGAGTGGAAAGAGAAACAAGTCCTCACCGACCAGATGCTGGACAAATTGATAGAGGAACAAGTCCTCAACAACCAGGACCTACCGGCGTCCTCCTCACCCCTCATCTCAACAACTTCTCCGACGACGACGCCGAAGACTATGCCAAGTTCAAAGAAAGGGAAAGAACCCGAAGACCCTCACCGGAGAGGGCCTCACGAGATGCACCACGGCATGAAAACCCTGATGACTGAAACCAGTCGAGCCTTGGCCAATTACCAGTGGGAGTTCCACCTCCTAGTGAAGGCACGCCAAATAGTGGAGTTGCAGGTCCCTCGGGATTTCGAGCAAGAACGGCAGCTCAACTCCCAAGCCATGGAGAAGCTGAACCAATACCAGTTCTATCAGAAACTGCACCTCCGCCAGTACCAACTAGTGGACTGATTCCCAGCCCCGTGGGAGGACCTACCCCTCGTACAGATCCTCACGCCGGAGAACTGGAGCGACACGCGGACGCGCTCCTCCAGCGGAACACCATCTCCGCGGTAATACAAATGGCCACAGCCATGGCCCTCCAAAGACTCGCTAACTTCTCGGCAGGACAACCCAGGAACGAACATAGCGACGTACCTCGACGACTGGCTAGTGCCAGTCTCCAGATCAGAACGCTCGCCCTCCAAACCGACCCGGACACAGCCTCCTGGTACGCCCACAATGACGGGCGACCCCGAGCCCTCCTCATCCACCCTGACGAGTTCTCCCAATACGTCAACCGAGAGCTCCTTCCAGCTCTCCTCTTCGGAGGAGAATTGGGAAACGTCCAGCCAAGCAGAACCGACCCTTTCCGAGTTGTCACTTGGAACGTACCACGTCCCGGAGAACATCCCACGCCTGTACCAAATCCAAGGAGGGTTCCGCGTACGGTCGTGGAGCGCCCTCCACCGAGACAACGAGAGGTTCCTACAGCGCATAGCCATACCGCGACTCCCCCCTCTCACCGGATACGAGGTTTTCCCTTATCCCAAGGAAATACCGACGAGGAGGAACCGCCCGTCTATCGAAGAAATGAGGGAAGGCGGAGTCGGGGAAACCAGGCAACCCTCGGACGCGGAACAACTGCTGGCCGGAGTATTCGACACCGGCCTGGATCGCCTCCTCCTAGTGCTCGATTTCGTACGAACGAAAGAGAGGATGACCGAAGTAGCCGCAGAACTCGCCGCACTGATTCGGAGGCTCGAAGAAATAGCTCTTGGACTAGATCCGAGCTCGATGCATGGGATGCTCTAGACGATCCAGGAAATTACGACGAAGCGGACCCCTACTACCGACCTGACGAAGGGGGCGGGGATTATCAGGGACCCTTCGATTATTAAACGGACTAATAGTAGGGCACAAGGAGAAGAAAAGGGGGTAAGGAAGTTGAGGAACTCCTTCCCCGGACAAATCACATCCGAAACGATGTAAAACTACAATCGTCCGCAACGACGTAAAACTAGGATCGTCCCTCAAGACGTTAAACTGTACGACCTCGTCCGAAAGAGACGTTAAACTACCCCACGTCCGGAATGACATCTAAACTATCGGACCTGCATGTCTTAAAACTGTGAAAAGATAAGAAGGCAGGGGAAGTACCTGACCATTTTAGTCCTAGGTTCAAATGATGGTACGAATCAAGGACAACAGCGGGCATAATTCCACGTACAGCCTACGGCGGAACCTTTCACATCCTCGCTGTCAAGGAGTTAATCTGACAGATGCATCGAGCGTCCCATTTGGATCCTCAGTTTTACAGGGTTTTTTCCGCATTAGGGAACCCTCTACATGACATATACTCTACTCGTAGGTGTCGACAAGCAGGCCCTTCGCCTTGGTACAGCGAAGTGCCCATACATAACCGGTTGCAAGTCCGAGTCAAGAAATTATGATGCATAACTCGTAATGTGAACCCTCACAGTCAAGGTCTGACTGGTGTTTTGGGACGTCCCACTTTGGATCTCCCGTTTTACAGGATCGTTTCCGCATTAGGGGATCCTACAGCTGGCGCATGAGATGATGTAGAGAGCGGGCCACCTCTACTTCACAAGTCTTCCTACAAGGAATGCGAGGCCATAAAATACATCCAGAACGATGTAAAACTACCAAAGGCTCGGTCCGCAATGACTATAAACTACTAGGGTCCGCAATGACGTTAAACTAGTCCTCGTCCGAAATGACGGAAAACTATCCTCGTCCGAGATGACGTAAAACTACCATTGACCCAAGGAGAGTGGTTGCATTCTGGTGAAGCGCGGATTTTCGGGAGGATCCGCGTCGCAGAACCCTGCCTATAAGAGGTCGAAGCGCTTCGATATTCACTCGCTTTTCGGTAAAAGAATATCGGGTCGACTTGGTTCAATTCCAAGCGAGGGGTCTGGGGACATGGAAGAGCAAGCATCTCTTCATGGAGCGCTCAGTCTAGTCTTGGAGTCGAAGTGCAAGAAATTCCGCTCCAAGACCTAGTCAGGAGGCAACTAGGACACGTGCCTCGAGTCGAAGATCTAGTAGGAAGGGACTAGGTCATGCGACTCTCGTCTGGCCCACATAGCGGAAGAGCGACAAGAGCGGGCCACTCATCCGAAGTCTATTCCGCCGAATCGTCCGCAATGATGTAAAACTAGGTCTCGTCCGCAAAGACGATAAACTACGACGCGTCCGGGATGACGTTAAACTAAGCATTGTTTTTCCACAATATTTGTGGCGAAACAACGTCCGCGATGACGCTAAACTATTGTCCCTTTCCACATAGGGATTGTTCGAGGCCAATGGCATCAACGTCCGCAACGACGGTAAACTACGGACGTCCGAAACGACGCTAAACTACTTGTCCCTTCAAGTACAGGGATTGTGCGTGGCGATCTTGACAAGATACCGCGCGTCCGCGACGACGTTAAACTAGTGCCCCTGGACATAGGGGTTGTCATTGACGTCCAATCCCCTGGACACCAATGCGTCCGCAATGACGTTAAACTACTTGCTCCCGATCGCATGGGAGTTGTGATTCATCACTCTGGTGCTGAATCGTCCGCAATGACACAAAACTATTTGCTCCTTACCATATAGGAGTCGTGGATTGACCGCCATGGTGTCAATCGGTCCGCAATGACACTAAACTACGTGCTCCTTACCGAATAGGAGTTGTGGTTGTTGACCAAGACCATGGTCATCAACCGTCCGAGATGACGTTAAACTACTTGTCCCTTTTCGTACAGGGATCATCGGTCGACATCATTCTTGACGAGAATATGTCGACAATGTCCGAAATGACATTAAACTACCCTCATCCTCGGAGGAAAAGCCTATCGTGACTCGAGGGACATAGTCAGACGATAGCCCGCCTATCGCACGGCGTTAAACTGCGAGGATGCCTACCTCACGGCATTAAACTGAGCGGTCTCCTAATATTGAGACGTATAAGTTATCCGGTTTGATATAGCATAAACCGTTCCCATCATACCTCAGTGGAAACCTGTGGGATAAAGTCTGGTCTAGGGCCCTATGCACACAACCGATGGAAATTCCGGCGTGCAGAAACATCTTTTCCCACAGATATTCCATGTTGATGATGAAGAACATCCGAAACGATGTAAAACTACTGACGTCCGCAAAGACGTTAAACTACGAATCGTCCGAAACGACGATAAACTACGGACCGTCCCGCATGACGTTTTAAACTGCCAGTCGTGGATATATCTCGCACCCCGACCAATATATCAGCTGTGGTCTTAATGTCTAAATTCGTGCAAGCGAACGGGCCGACCTGGAAAAGGAGTCAGACTCCTCCTTATTCCTCGCTGCGCCCTTCAAGTCTAATTCTCTTCACATCCTTGCCTCGAACCCAACACTACACGTGGTATTCCCCACCATAGGCCCACGTTTGTGAAAAACAAACTCTGGACGCCGTAAACTGCCTCACCGGAGATGAGTCCACCGTATGGGGACAATACTGCTTGGGATTTGATTGGGTGCCCTCACCGGAGATGAGCTCACCATATGGGAGCAATACTGCTTGGCCGTTCGACTCATGCTTAGCATGGTTTCAGGTAGTCTGGGGAAGTAGGCCTAAGCCTTTGTAAAGCGATCAACCTACTTGCCCGTGGACGCCGCTGGTCGCCATTGAGGAAACAACAAATCATGAGGATAGACGACTATCCTGGAAACACTGAGGTTTGGCCCTCGGAGAAGGAAGAAGAAGAACCTGATGACACGAATCGGAACCCACATGCTAGAGTTTTTATTCATCCACACACCACTCGCATTCATACGCCTTTCTTGATACTATTCCAGAAGAGGGCTGGAAGTAAGACCGCGATGGGTTACCCGCGGCAGAATCAATCCCACGGGTGAAGGAAGAACACCCTAGAGAGCGGAGGCTTGGATAACCTCACGGCTCGACAAACAAACAGCTCAACGGAGATGGAAAACTCCTAGGGGATCAAACGACGTAAGTCGGTCTTCCTCCCAGAAAACGAAGTCATGTCCCGGAAGTCGCATCCGGCGACCGTCTTTGGATCAAGAAAGCAAATCGTATATGGAGTGGCGATGAAGCGCAAAAAGCGCTGTCCTACCAGGCGAATAGGACGTAGAAAGGGGGTATTGTTATGATCACGTTCTATCGGGCCTACACGGCGGTCTATACCGATACGATCATCACAAATATCATGCGGCCTCACAGGTTGAGGCGTACACCAAGGTACAGATATTAACCTTGGTCATCCACTCCCAACGGATCACCTTATCGTTGGTCGAGTATCACGGGCCTATTGTATTAGCGGGCATGGAACGCCGCCTTATAAATTACTCACACGCAGGGCATGAACCTCCTAGTCTTTCCTGGCCGGAAGGAGACGAACGGAGAAGCACAAGAGTAGTCGTTATTGAGAGAGACGACTTAGAGGAATACCTACGGATACATATACGGTATTCTCACGCCCTACTTCCTAAAGTAGTATAAAAGGCCCATAGAGTAGGCTGAGGTTCTTCAGTCTATTCTCTTCGTTCTCCTGTATCCTCACATACAGGAACCTTCGTTCAGTACTGTCTTCCTACAGTACCTTTCCTTGCTATATCGCAATACACTCCTGGCTCCTGTGCTACACGTACAGTCGAGACCACCGTTCCGCACATCCTCCACGAGCGACCCAGGGAAGAACCTCCTACTCTTGGGGTTACCGACGAGCAGTCGTAACACTACTGGTCATTATAGGACACAACATGTGGGTTGGACTTAGGGATATGCTATATACAGCCTTGTAGACCTTGTCTATTAGTACAGTGATTAATACTGTCTTGTGCAGCACACAATCATCATCACTATTGATATTACAATTTTTAGCACTATTTATATTGTTTATTGCCTTGTTATACAGAAGATGCTCAAACTTGGTGTTTTCCTCTAGCTATTAGGCTGTGGAAAAGACAGTCATATTGGTATGTGGGGCCAGAATAATATATTTGCCTACCATATAGGAAATATATGCATTAAGCATATTAAGATCACCTCCAACAATCTTGTGCTTATTTATATATAGGCATGCCATACATATACTCTTGTCCCCATCCTCTACCTCACTAGTGGCTATTTGGAAAACCCCTCTCTCTTATTGGATCTTGATTATTCATAATTATGTTTTTGATCAAATTTGCAAATTCAGGTAGCATTGTCTATACTAGTAGAGTCCTATTGAATATTACACTCAATCATAGTTTTACACATTCTCAGTCCAAATTGTATAAGTGCCATAATTTATTTTTATGCTATATAAAGTGTATAATCAATTTTCCATTGGTTTATTATTTTCTTAGCTGGTGTTAAACTAAATCCTGAAAGACCTGACTTTTTAGGTATTTATTGACCTATTTATTTATAAGATAGAGGAAAGATAAATATTAAATAAAATCAGAGATATTGAGGTTGCCTATATTATGTCTACTTATTTAGATTACCAAGTTCATATCTTAGACCTTGTGGCTTAGTGGCTTAGAGCATCTGTCCCAGGTGCTTGCATACATGAGGTTGTTGGTTCAACTCTGGCAGAAGGCAAGTTTGTTATAAGGTATATTCTGTGTTTAGGTATTGAACTAGTGCTCTAATAGACATGACTCTATAAGAAGGCTATGAGAACTGTAATGCTTGATTTATTATGATTTTTCCGAAATTTCAAGTTATAATCAATCCTAATAATTCCTAATTTAGGAAAATTATGTCTAATTAGAACAGGTTTAGAGGGGGGGTAAGCTAAAAATGTCTAATCCTAATCATTCTTAATTATGCATAAATAGAACTAATTAGAGCTTAATACAAAGGGGTGGCTTTCCAGATGCGTGGATGGCATGTAATATTTGTTGGCAGGAGTGGGGTCATCAGCTGGGTGAAATGTATCGTGGAGGGGTTCCACGCGATCAAGTCCCAGGAGTCTTCTCTCACCTGCATTGATGCAGGCAACAAGGGTTTCCTCTTGTATCTGCAAGACTCTCTGTGCATGCTATACGAATGCCCTTTCTTCTTCTAAAATTTCTAATGCCCTCTGTATGTCTGGTCGAGTGGGTCCTGACACAAATTCCATGCTCGGCAATCCTTCTATGAGCCCCATAAGGTATGTGATGGGGGCAGTCAAGTATGATTCTTGGTTAGGGAATATGACTCCTTTGTTCTCATCATGGATCAAGGGTGGTGGGGAAGGAGAGTGAGAAGGCAAGGCTGTGGGCAGGGTCATTATGTTTATCACTGGTGGAGGAGAGGGGGTAGGGGAGGAATGCGTGGTAGCCGCTTCTTCTGCCGCTGCTTCATTTAGCCATGCTTGGTACCGTCTGTCGATCTCTTCTTGTTCAGCCCTCTGTTCCCTAATACTAAGCATCCGATGTTCAAACCTCATCATCTGATCTTCGAACTGATCTATTTCCAACTGAGTCGGGGATCAATCAGAAGAGGGGGTGACTTGCACTGATTCGTCAACGAGGGTGTTGTCAGCAGAGGTGATGGAAAGGGTTCCGTTGTAAGACATATGTAGCAGGAGGAAGATTGTTGTGAAAGAAATGGGGTTGTCGAAGTGATGAGGGGATTCGGAGGATCGAGTTGGAGTTTTTATACGTTCCCCGGTTTGTTTGTCCAATATTTGCAAGAGTCATTCTTAGGGGCATGCTGTTAGGGTGCCATATGTTATAGGCTTCTACAAGTTCTCTGGCACTCTTCAGGTACATTTTCATAATCTATTCATTCAATGAGTCTGGGTATCCTTTCCAGCGCACTAGGTACTAGTATCCGTGTCCTCATTTCCTTCAGTCGAGAATTTCTTCAACTTCATATTCTTCTTGTCCTTTTATGAGGTCAGGAGGTGGTTGTTTGTAGTTGGGGCCGTGGGCAGCCATTTCTTGATATGGTATAATTAAGGAGGCGTGAAACACCAGGTGTATCTTTCATGTGGGCGGGAGTTTTAATTTGTATGTGACTGGTCCCAATTTTTCTTCTATTTTGAATGGTCTATGTCGTTTAGGGGCTAATATGTCCTTTGAGTGTGTGGTGGTGATGTTTTTTCCCGAGAGCCAAACTTTCTGTCCTGCTTCTAGCTTGACTTCGTTCTTGGTGGTTTTCCTTTTCATCAGTTCTGCCGCGACTTCTAGACTGGCTTTGGTTTTTTCTCATAATTGCTCCAGTCTTTCTAGTCTTTGTTCTACATGAGGGATGTCAGATCTTGAGGTGATTTGGGGTGCAAAGGTTGGGTTGTAGCCGTACATGAGTTTGAATGGGGATTGATGTGTGGCTGAGTGTTCTCTGACATTATGTGCGAACTCTGCATATAGTAGGAGTTCAGGCCAGTTTGTCTGTTTATAATTGCAGAATGCTCAGAGGTATTGTTCCAGCTCTTGGTTTACTCTTTTGGTTTCTCCATCTGTCTCTGGGTGATATGCAGTGGATAGTGCTATCATTATTTTTAATTTCTTCTAGAGTTCTTTAGTAAACCTAGCAGCAAACTGTGGTCCTCGGTCCAAGATGATCTTTCTTGGAAGTTTGTATTGTTTCCACATGTTTTTCATATATAAGTTGGCAGTCCCTTCTGCATCTATAGTCTTTGCGCACGGGGTATAGATAGCCCCTTTAGTGCTTCTATCTACTGTTACATGGATTGCATCATATGGCCCAACCTGCGGAAGATCTGTAATGAAGTCCATTGTAACCACTTTCCAGGGTCCTTCTGGTATTTTGTTTGGAATTAGTGGAACACATGTAGGGTGCATAATATTTTTTGTGTTCTGACATATAGCATATTCTGTTACATATTCTTTTATGAATGTTGACATTCCAGGCCACCAGAAGTTGTCTGACACTAGGACATACATCTTCCATTGTCTGGGATGTCTGGTTGCAGGTGAATTGTGATACATTTTTACTATCTTTCTTTTTAGTTTGTCATTTGGTGGAGTGTATATTTTGCCTCTATGCCAGATGAGGTCATCTTCTAGGTTCTATTCTTGTAGTCCTTTGGAGAGTGTTCTTGGCCCTGATGCTTTGATGATTTCCATGGCTTCCATCACTTCTTTGTCTTTTGCTGTGATGTTCTTCAGCTCTTGCCTGAGTTGTCTATCTAGCATCTCGACTGTGCCTCTTCCTGTAGTGCTTTTAACGAATAGTTGGGGTTTTAGTAGTATCTGGTTTTCGTTGTCTAATTTCACCCCCCGTTTTAGGTCTGGACACCTGGACAGAGCATCCAGTCAGTGGGAGGTACCAGGTTTATGTACCAGCGTGAAATCAAAGCATGATAGAAAGAGCGCCCAGTATGCTTGTTGGTGGAATAGGGTCCTGGCAGTGGAGAAGTAGAGAAGGTTCTTGTGATTGGACCATATCTTAAATAGGTACCGTGCGCCTTCGAGATAGATACGCCAGTGGTCCAGTGCATGGATGATGGCTAATAGTTCTTTATTGAAGATGTCGTAGTTTCGTTCAGCTGCGTTGAATGACTTTGATAAGTAGGCTACTGGGTGCCAGCCATCGCCCGGGACTTCTTGTGACAGGATGGTGCCTAATGTGAAGTCGGAGGCATCGGTTTCGAGTTGGAATGGTCAATTTCTGTCGGGATAAATTAATACTGGTGTTGATGTGAAGCAAAGTTTGAGGGTTTTAAACATGACATTGTGTTCTTCGGTCCATATGAAAGGAGTATCCTTTTTTGTTAGGTCATTTAGGGGACGTGCTATTATAGCAAAGTCTTGGATGAATCTTCAGTAGAAGTTTCCAAAGCCTAAGAAGGATTGTACTTCTTTTAAGTTTGTCAAAGTTGGCCATTTGGAAATTCCCTCAACTTTGACTGGGTCCATGGCTATGCTGTCCATGGAGATGATGAAACCAAGGTATTCAACCGTATCAACTTCAAATGCGCATTTGGAAGGTTTCAAGAATAAATTGTTGTCCAAAAGTATCTGCATGACTTAAATTGTCACTTGTCGATGTTCTTCCACTATTTTCGTGAAGATGAGAATATTGTCCATGTATACTATTACAACCTGTGTGACAATGAGGTCATGGAAGATGATATTCATCATAGTTTGGAACATCGCCGGCAAGTTGCAAAGTCCAAAGAACATGACAAGGCATTCAAATAGGCCGAATTTGGTTAGGAAGGCCATTTTCCATTTGTCTCCTTCTTTCATACGGATGTTGTTGTATCCCCATTTGACATTAAATTTTGAGAAGACCTTTGCCTTCGATTTTGCTATGGTTCAGATTACATTGTCGATCATGGGTAATGGGTATTTGTTTTTTATTGTCCATTTGTTGAGCTTTCTATAGTCTTGGACTGGTCTGAGGTCTCCTTCTTTCTTTTTTATGAAGAAGAACAGGGATGCTTGTGGGGAGTTTGATATTCATATTGTTCCCCTTTTTAGATGCTCTTGCAGCATGTCATATAGTTTGTCTTCTTCTTCTTTGGTTAGGGGGTACAGTTTACAACAGCTCGATTCCCATCCGTGTTTTATATCAATTTTGTGATCCCACTGTGAGTGTTCAGGAAATCATTGCAAGGCTTCCTGATTAAAGACTTTGGTAAAGCATTTGAGAACGTATGCAGGGACTATTTCCTCCACCGTGCATTTATCTTTCTTCTTGTTTGCTATTTCTGCTAACTCTTATGACTTGCTGTGGACAGATTGAATACGGATTGCTTTAAGCGGGTGCATTTTGAATGGATCTTGATAGTACCATTCTTTGTAGAATTCAGAGAAGAAAGTTTCATCTGTGGTACCTTTTCCTTCTGGTTCGTCTTCTATCTTGGAGTATCTGATTGTTCTTGTGCTTCTTTGTCATGACATAAGTTGTGCTTGTATTGTAAATCTTGGTCGGCTGACTAGGCACGTTCTGGCACAGGTGGAGAATGTGAGACGATTCTTTACCCAATCAATCTGCGGGTTATGTTTGTGCAGCCAGTCTGTTCCCAAAATTACATCTTCTCCTCCTAGGTTGGTAGCGAGTAGCTCACATTGTTTGCCATGATAGTTGCCTTCGTCGTTCATCATTCTCATTAGGAGGTATGCCTTGTCCGTGATCTTCCCTCCTTCATTTGCTATTCCATCTACATTAAACACTGGAATGAATCTGTCAGTTTTTGGAGTGGTATTCCTTGTTTTTGACAAAAAATTTTATCGCTAAGAAGCCCTTCTGCCCCTGAGTCGATCGGTACCTTTGCTTTGGTGGTTCCCTTTTTGTGTTTCAATTATACGTTTATACGCATAGATGATTTTTGATTGGATTTTGTAAGTCATACAACTGTTTTTACATAAGGGTTTTGGGCAGGCCTATGGTATACCGAGGATGTAGGCTAGTTCAAAAATCCATATCTGATTCCTTTTGCTTGCTTCCTTTGCTTAATTCCTGAAGGAGTGCTTCTTGTTCATCCCATCTCATTTTCCCTATAAGACTCTGGACCTCTTCTTGGCTAACTTCAGACTTTTTCTGACGTACAGATGCATCCTCTTTGGATGCGTAGGCTTGGCATGCTGTGAGTCTAGCCCGGAATGGGTTAGTCGTTGCCATGCTTCTACTTTCACCCAAAGTTGCTGTCTCGCCACTAATCTGAGCTCTTGCCAGGATTGCTCTGCCATAGCCTCCTCTTCGGCTGGCCAATGCTCTGCCGGCTTGAGCCGGGCAGTACTCCACTTTTCCACTACTCAATTGAACATGTCCAATTCCCCCTTCATGTATCCTAGATGAAACCCTAGCAGGGCATTGGTTTGCCATATGTCTTTTTTGTCAGCAATAGAAACACCCACCCTCAGCTCGTAGCTTAGCTTGTTCATCGTCAGTGAGGAGAGTGCAGATAGCATCTATGGCCATAGGCACAACTGAGTTATTCATGGAGGTGGGGGCATTGGAAGAGTCGTAGCAGAAGGGGTTGTTGTGATGGGGCATTGTAGTGGGGACAGAGCTTTTTATATTCTGGAGCTCTCTCCACTGGTTGTCAAATCTTTGGGTATACTTTACCCAGTCATTCATTGTGGTCGGCATTTCTGGAAGCTCGTAAATTTGTTTGAGAATTTCGGGTGTATGGCTCAGCGGAAATAGTTAACGGTGGATTCTAGATTGAATCTGCTTTCTCCTGTGGTCATGAGATAATCTGTGACAAATTCATCTGCTGATTGTTTTCCCATCCTCATGGTAAACAGCTTTTGTCATGCTTTCTGTTTTAGACTTTCGTCTTTGAATACGGCAGCTAGTTCCTTCAAGAATTCCTTGAACACTCCCCATGTCAGCTTGGTCTCCATTGCCTTGTACTCTCGAAGTTCTCTGTCGAAGTAATATTTTTGGGCAAAAAATGAGGCCGTTGATGCACTTGCGATGGCTCTGTGTGCGAAAACACAACACAAAACACACCACTAAACACAGGGTAGGTGGGGAGCTGACTTCACTACAAATATTGAGAGACCCTTGTAAGTTGCGAGACAGGGCGTGAGATACGTACTGCGAGATATCGAAGTATCTAGCGAGGTGATGCGAGGTCACATGAGAATACTCTTGTGTGAAATGAAGTGGTGGACCGTGGGCCAAGGTGCAAGTGACCGGGGCAACTTCAAGGGTAGCGATGAAGGCCCTGACGATAGCGGCAATGAAGGCAATGAGTGCTAAATTGAGCAAGTGCAATGTTGGTGCAATGCAATATAAACAAGATCTTTGTGCAAAGTTGAGCTCTAAACAGAGGGGTGTCAAAAACTGGTGTATTGCAGTGTTGTAGGCAGGTATTTATAGTAAGTCGAAGTGAGTATAGTAAACGCAAACTCATCAGGTAAAGCAAATTGATATCGTGCCAAGACCGTAACATAGAAAGATAAAGAAAAACCATGCGCAGAGGTGCTCGCAGACCATGAGGTTCTGTCACACCGCAGTCGAGAGACAAAGCAATATTTAGTAAAGAGGTATAGCGGTGAGATGAGGTAAACTCTAGGAAGACATCTGGAAAGCCACCCCTTTGTATTAAGCTCTAATTAGTTCTATTTATGCATAATTAAGAATGATTAGGATTAGACATTTTTAGCTTACCCCCCCTCTAAACCTGTTCTAATTAGACATAATTTTCCTAAATTAGGAATTATTAGGATTGATTATAACTTGAAATTTCGGAAAAATCATAATAAATCAAGCATTACAGTTCTCATAGCCTTCTTATAGAGTCATGTCTATTAGAGCACTAGTTCAATACCTAAACACAGAATATACCTTATAACAAACTTGCCTTCTGCCAGAGTTGAACCAACAACCTCATGTATGCAAGCACCTGGGACAGATGCTCTAAGCCACTAAGCCACAAGGTCTAAGATATGAACTTGGTAATCTAAATAAGTAGACATAATATAGGCAACCTCAATATCTCTGATTTTATTTAATATTTATCTTTCCTCTATCTTATAAATAAATAGGTCAATAAATACCTAAAAAGTCAGGTCTTTCAGGATTTAGTTTAACACCAGCTAAGAAAATAATAAACCAATGGAAAATTGATTATACACTTTATATAGCATAAAAATAAATTATGGCACTTATACAATTTGGACTGAGAATGTGTAAAACTATGATTGAGTGTAATATTCAATAGGACTCTACTAGTATAGACAATGCTACCTGAATTTGCAAATTTGATCAAAAACATAATTATGAATAATCAAGATCCAATAAGAGAGAGGGGTTTTCCAAATAGCCACTAGTGAGGTAGAGGATGGGGACAAGAGTATATGTATGGCATGCCTATATATAAATAAGCACAAGATTGTTGGAGGTGATCTTAATATGCTTAATGCATATATTTCCTATATGGTAGGCAAATATATTATTCTGGCCCCACATACCAATATGACTGTCTTTTCCACAGCCTAATAGCTAGAGGAAAACACCAAGTTTGAGCATCTTCTGTATAACAAGGCAATAAACAATATAAATAGTGCTAAAAATTGTAATATCAATAGTGATGATGATTGTGTGCTGCACAAGACAGTATTAATCACTGTACTAATAGACAAGGTCTACAAGGCTGTATATAGCATATCCCTAAGTCCAACCCACATGTTGTGTCCTATAATGACCAGTAGCAGGCATTGGCTAACAATAACAACTTTAATGATCTTGTGTGCAAGGACAAGGTACCTGAGTCTTCATAGCCTCTTGTGGCAGCTGCCAAGCTGCTAGCAAAGTGGCTGGGGGCATCAATGCATATTTCTCTCTTTCTATATCCCTTATAAAAGCAGCTGGAAAGTCAGCAAAAGAGCTACAAGATAATGGTATAGGCATATATAAAGAAGAGTAATATGCTGAAATAGTATAGAATGTGCCACATCTTTACCTTCTCACTGATAGAGCAGTAGTACTTACTATTTCCTACTAATAATTAAAGACTTCTTAGCATAGAATTAGTGCTAATATCATGAAATTAGAAACCAATCCAATGCTCACAATATGTTGCTCCTAATTAGGAAATTAGACACTTTTAGATACTATTAACACTTTTAGATACTTTTAGACACTATTAGATATAATCTGGAGCTAATACAAGGGGGTGTTTTTCTAGATGGATAGAGGGGCAATAGATCACAAGACCTGTACTACCCAATAAGCACACGCAATAAAGCTCTCTGCGATATCACATTGCGGAGCTGCTTGCAGTATAGTCCATGTGGTTGATGCTTGTGAGGCATATGACAAGAGCTTGGCGAGGTCTTTGTAGGTGCAGCAGGCTCAAGGCCGTTGTGCGATACGTGTGGGGGCTGAGTGAGATGATGTGAAGCAATGACTGAGGGGTGCAAGACAAGACCACGTCAGCCCTATACTGTAATGCTGAGGTCGTAGTGGGCATTGGAGGGAATCGCTCTGGGTTGCAGGGCCACCCGGCAGTGTCTGGGGTATTCCCTGAGGTCAGCATGCTAGTGCTCGTAGAACTGCAAAAAATGGGGTCCCAGCGCTTAGAGAGGTGGCACACTCATCATCTCCTCCCTACTGAAGTCCTGACTGTCCTCAGTCAGTCCTGTGCCATGCCATGTGACCTAGTGGCTGAGCGGTGGCTGAGATGCATGTGTGCTGCAGAAGTCAGCTGTGCTCAATGGCATCAAGGTGTGGTGTGGGATCGACGTGGTGGCATGGGGAAATTGGTAAATGACGGTGAGACTGGCCTGAGCGGGATGTCGTGGGTCGTGGGAGCAGAGGCATGACTTGGTGGCAGATGCAATAAGCAATGACGGACACAAGTGGCATGGAAAATATGCTGTGGCTGTTGAGGAAGCAGGTCGGCACAGGGCCCGAGGTGCTGATGTGGCTGTGACTTGTTCCTGTTTGGTCAGGGTATGCATCACCCAAGTTCAATGCACCATCTGCTTCCATCTTCCTAGCATCCCTTGCCCCCTTCCAATCCGGCCTTTTCTTGATCGTACTCTGCTTCCACGAAAGTCTCTCTGGATGCCATTGTCCCTTGTCGATCTCTTTGTCTCTGCCCTGTCTAACCTTATTGATGTGTCCCCTGAGTATCCCGCCAAGTTGGAGGACTTCATGACCTGGGGTCAAAACTTTGCCCATACCCTAGTACGTCCTCTCTTTCCTCTATTTCTATCGTGCTGACCCCTTTCTCCTAGGCCAGCCTGGAGGCAATTCCCTCGTTTGAGCCTTCCCTACAGCTCGTGATCTGGCTTGATAGCACCAAGGACACCCTTGAGACCTATGTGACTAATGACTGGTTAGCATGGGGGACACAAATCCTACAGACACGTGTAATGCGCCGTGACAAGTGTATCCAGGCTGAGGTCGCTGCTGCTCAGGCCAAGGCCACTCATGTTGCTGAGGTGGAAGCTTGCCGGTTGGCCGATGAAGAGCGTGTTGCACGCGGAGTTGCTGAAGAGGCGCATCGGAGGGCTCGTGATTGGGAGATCATGGGCTTGTATGTGTGTGGTTCCATCTCGTGAGAGGAGAGTGAGCATTGTCTGGCCAAGCCGCTGGAGACAGAATCGGGACCTAGCATGGTGAGTGCCAAGAATTGGGTAGTGGGGTGTGATGGCAATGTTGAGATGGTGGCACCCATTTTACAGATGGGCGATGCTATTGACTCCTTGCGGGCATCGACTACGGCGCTGTCCATACGAGGGGAGAGTCTTGTGCCATCCAGGACTAGGCTCTTCCTTCCTGATGGCGAGGAGGAGGTTGTGGAGCTGGATCAGACAGAGAAGTGGCGCAAGGTTGTGAATGAAAAGCGGAAGGGCAAGCATCGCACCCCACCTGCGTGGATGTCTGTGAAGTCTCTAGTGTAGTTGAAGGCCGAGGCTGATAGGAAAGCAGAGGAGCACGCTGCAAAACGTCAGCGAAAGATGGATGGGTGTCCTATCATCCCTGGTCAGTTGCCTCCTGGCGCGCAGCAGGTGAGCTCCTTTCCCTCTCCTGTCCCCTTTTTTTTATCCTCAGATTTCCCTAGGCCAAACTGCCTTGCACCTATTGTTCCCACTTTGTCACCCCCTTCGTCTGTTTCCACGTCCTGGGCAATGCAACGCACTGCCTCAAGCATCACCGTGATTGCAAGTCATGTGACAGGCCCCGTCGATGGACAAAGCTCCTTTTGACCCCTTTGGACACCACCCCTCTTCCTCTTCCTTCCTCTCATCCTGTTCCTTGCATCATGCGTGATCTTCCCGCCTCTACCTCCTCTGCTCCTTCTCCACCCGTCGCTTCTTCCTCTTCTGCCTGCTTCCTTTCCAGCGACCTTCGTCAGCCTGCTCGTCGCTTGGCTTGCGTGGCGTGCAGTGAACTCCGGACTCGTTGGATGGTAGACTGCAACATCAAAATCCTTCATTGGTGGATGGCTCGGACTGGGAGTGAGGTCCACTATTTGTTATCTGAGCATGAGGCGCGTAGAAATGAGCTTGCTGAGCTGGAGTGCATTCGCGCGTCATTGCCAGAGGGGTCGGAGAATGAGGACGAGGATGGTGAGGGTAGTGTGGAGTTGGTGCTCAACTAGCATCTCAGATGCTTTTAGATGTAATATATAAGTTTCGATGAAAATGTAAAAGTACTTCTTTCTTGGTTTTAGTAATATCTGTGATAAAATCAGGAAGAAACACTCGAGTTAAAGTCTCGCTAGATTCTAAAGGTTATTTAGTGAGCAAGAAATGTCAGAGATAAGTTAAAACATATTACATGTGGGGTCGAAGCCGTCATATAATAGGGATCTATTGTAGAGGTCTTGATGGTAAGCGATAACGTTATAACTAGAATTTGAGAGAATATAGAAATTAGGGAAAGCCTCAGTAGATCATCACAAGTGTAAAACCCTTCAGTTTTGCACAAATCCAATAAGGTTCATTGATGTGACTTTGAAATGAAGAGGAAATGCTGGATGCGAGAAACGTCGAATTAACTGTGCGATATTCGCTAGTCTGAGTCTAAAGTGTAAAAATAGTCATAAGCTTGCTGCAAGAAAGATTGGGATGCAAAAAATAGGGTATCATAGCTGGTCCTTCTCCTCCCTACTGAAATCTGGGCTGTCCTCAGTCACATCACCCAGCGCGAGAAGGAAGGGTGGGTGGGCTCATCAGTATTGGACATTGTGTCGATATCCCACTGTGAAGCTTCATCCTCTGAGTCATCCATCTCATCGCCGTGGAGGCCCTCCTCTTCAGGATCCTCATCCATGGTGGCCTTCATCTCATGCAGTCATTGTGCAGAGATATCGAGGAGTGCATCGAGGTTGGGTATGTTGAGCTTTTTGCGAGCAAAGTAGAGGATGATGCGGAAGGCCGCGATCGGGTGGTCAAGTACTGAGCCATCTAATTCTGCGAGAATATAAGCACTGCCGCAATTCTAAGATATAACGAGAAGGGGTCCCAAGTAGCGAGGTTGCATTTTGCGGTTTAGGGCCTTCTCGATGGCGGTGTTGCGGATGAGGACGAGGTCTCCAAGATTGAAATGAAATGCTTGAATTGTTGCCTGGTGGTCGGTCTCGAATCGGATGGCGGCTTTAACTCATGCTGTGATGACTGCAGTGCGGAGGCAAGCAAGGTCAGAGCGATACTTTTGGAGTGTGATTGCTTGGCAGGCGATAAGGTCAGTGGTTGACAATGTCTCAGATGGTGGTGGAAGGAGGTACATTGCTTCCGCTATATCAAGGGGCAGGAGGAGATAAGTTCCCATTGCTGCGAAGTATGGTGAGCAACCCATGCGACGCTGGACAGTGATGCAATTGGCCCAGAAAACACACGGTGCCGCTGATGAGCATGCACCCGCGCTAGGGTCCACGGGAGGTATTTGGGAAGCTTTGGGGAGATTCCGAACAGTGTTAGACAAGTACCGAAGAGGCCGACTTGCACCGAACACGGTCGGTCCCCACCCGACCGACCGCAACCCTCCAAAGGATGTTTGGCAGCACTTGGGTCAGTTCGCCCACACTTCACGTACTTACCATGACCACACAGGGGTGTTACGATAGGTGGTTACGAGATCGGAGCCAGTCTTCCGTGTCGGCCGATGTGCTCCATGAGTCGGTCGGTCCTTATCGCTTATCTTCCCGACTTCCACATGGTCGGTCAAATGCGATCTTGCACCATTTCTTGGCTACCCTGGTCGTACGATACCTCTCCTTTATTTTCATTGGTTCTCCAATGCCTGTTCCGTCTACCTACGCTCAGGTGATGGATCCCGAACATTCGGGATGTCGCCATCGCTGATTAACTTTTACCTTGTCACCTTCAGAACCCATATGGACATCTCACCTACCTTCTTATCTTCTCTGATTGCTAAAGGCTTGGCACCCATTCGACATCTACTCTCATTTCTTGTTTAATATTTTACTTAGAGGCTCTGTTTACTATAAAAACCTACATACACCTCTGGAATAAACCAGCTTTCACACCCCACAGTTCAGAGCTCATTCGCACTCGTCTCAACCATCGAAACCGTCTTCATCGACTTCCGAAAACTTGTCATCCTCGTCGTTCGGCCTCATTTGCATTCGTACTCGTCTCTTTGCTCGTACCTCCCATCCTCCCTCGTATATTGTCAGAGTCCCGTGTGGCTCTTGAAGCGCGTAGTTGTCGGTCGCGACACTACCTTCTCGTTACCAACCGCATCGCCGACACGACCGACCGAACGTTCGGTCGGTGTTCGGCGCAGTCCCGAAACCATTCGGGCGCTAAAATCTCACACTCCCCGATTGCTTCTCAGTACGCCTTCCCTTTCTAAAGTCATCACTGACAATTCCTTGTGTATCAGATACTAGCTCCAGCACCCCTGCATTAGAGGTTGTTTTAGTGTTGTGCTCGGCACTTAGAGCTACCTCTAGCGTATCACCGCTCTATTCCACTTTGACTGATCCCCATTGACTGCCTTAAAGAGAGCTTGTCAGACGTCGAAATGTGGCCTTTCGACAATGCCATTGGCGCGGGAATTGTACCCCAATATTCAAATGTGCAAAATGTGATACTTCTTGGCAAGATGGGTGAGAGCTTTGATGAAGGCTGGCTTGTTATCGGAAACAATCTTGACGAGGGTGCCCCAGCAACAGAGAATATCCTCGAAGATCCAGTCGGTGAGGGGGGCGCTGGTCTTGTTGCGGAGCATGCAGAACTCAGGATAGTGCAATATCAAGCATCAACCTTGAATGAGGTATCGGAAGCCTCCTGCCGTCGGCATGTGCATCGTGTCCATATACATTTTGGCAAAGAGAGGCACTAGTGATGCAATGACTGGAGGGATCAAGACGTTGCGTATTTGTCGAATCTGGCAGAGATGACATGAGCAAATGAACCAAGCGATGTCTTGCCTCATAAGCGGCCACCAGAATCTTTCCACGATGAGGATGCGAGTGGCAAAGAAGCCCTTGTGCGCGACGTTGTCGTGGGCCAAGGCGGTGATGAGCATGTACCCGCGCTAGGGTCCGAGGGAGGTATTTGGGAAGCTTTGGGGAGATACCGAACAGCGTTAGACGAGTACCGAAGATGCCGACTTGCACCGAAAACGGTCGGTCCCCACCCGACCAATCGCAACCCTCCGAAGGACGTTCGGCAGCACTTGAGTCAGTTCGCCCACACTTCACGTACTTACCATGACCACACAGGAGTGTTACGATAGGTGTTTACGAGATCGGAGCCAGTCTTCCACTTCAGCCGATGTCTTCCGTGAGTTGGTCGGTCCTTATCGCTTATCTTCCCGACTTCCACATGGTTGGTCAAACGCAATCTTGCACCATTACTTGGCCACCCTGGTCGTATGATACCTCTCCTTTATTTTCATTGGTTCTCCAACGCCTGTTCTGGCTACCTACACTTGGGCGACGGATCCCGAACGTTCGGGATGTTGCCATCGCTGATTAACTTTTACCTTGTCACCTTCAGAACCCATATGGACATCTCACCTACCTTCTTATCTTCTTGGATTGCTAAGGCTTGGCGCCCATTCGACATCTACTCTCATTTCTTGTTTAATATTTTACTTAGGGGCTCTGTTTACTATAAAAACCTACATACAACTCTGGAATAAACCAGCTTTGTGCACCCCACAGTTCAGAGCTCATCTGCACTCGTCTCAACCATCGAAATCGCCTTTGTCAACTTCCAAAACTTGTCATCCTCGTTCGTTCGGTCACATTCGTGTTCATACTCGTATCTTTGCTCGTACCCCCCCGTCCTCCCTCGTATATTGTCAGAGTCCCGTGTGGCTCTTGAAGCACGTAGTTGTCGGTCGCGACACAACCCTCTTGTTACCAACCAAGTTCCCGACACGCCCGACCGAACATTCAGTCGGTGTTCGGCACAGTCCCGAAACCGTTCGGGCGCTATAATCCCACACTCCCCGTTGCTTCTCAGTACGCCTTCCCTTTCTAAAGTCATCACTAACAATTCCTTGTGTATTAGATACTAGCTCCAGCACCCCTGCATTAGAGGTTGTTTTAGTGTTGTGCTCGGCACTTAGAGACACCTCTAGCGTAACAGCGGGAATGGAAATGTGGTGGTCAGGCGGTGCGACGAGCTTGTGTCGGCCTTGAGCATCTTTCTTCCATACAGTGCCGGACAAGCAAAGTTGACAATTTTGCTGACTCTCCAGGCGGAATTTTTTGGGACAAACTGAGTTCAGATTCGGACTCAGGGAAGCAAAAGGAGTCAAAAAATGTCCTTTATGGAAGTTCCCACGGTAAAATGGGGGTGGCCAATTTTTTGAGCGAAAAAATCAAAATGTAATTAGGCCTAAAATGGCATCAGAGCCAATCTGAGTCAATCTCAGGTCATCATTGCATCAACAGACATCATTGTGCACTGCCCAACCCTTCTATGTGACTTCTGTTTGCATACAGCCCACTCTGCCACTTTCCCTATAAGCCCCTTATGATATGCATCCATAAACCACCATGATTGATCAAAAAAATTGGTGAATCACCTTGACAGGACACTTATTGAGGCATTGCTGTGCCACTTTCTTTGCATCCTCAAATTTGACTTTGTAAATTTTACAGTACAAATGCTTGTACAAGCCCCAGTACTGAATAACATGAACATGCCATAAAAGAAAAGACTGAAGAAACTGACCATCTCAATAGGATTAAGCTCACAATGGAACTTTAGAAGAAAGATGCAGATGTGACCTCAAGCTTTTGATTTCTGCTCAAGAAGGGATTCTTGAAAAAAAATCATCCTGCCTGGTCAGGAGTCAGGCTATATAGCAAGTGTCACTCTTAAAAGGACAAATTGGAGAATACTTAGCCTTTATTGTGTAGACATCAAAGCTACATTCTGTAAGAGTCTGCTGTAATCCCTTTGCCTTGCCATTCTTGGTTGTCATCTTGCTTACTAAAAAATAACTATTGAACTTTGTCTGGCCCTCTCACACTCACTTCCACTCCAGGCATTGCTGCATACGCACTGACTTATTGTTGATAATAGGACCATGTGAGTGTGATTTATATGGACCTGCTATTCATGGTCTATCCAGTATTGATTATAATGTAATTTTTTGAGAACTCACCAGGTTTTTCATAGATGAGAGCTAGTCTCTGTCTTATGGATTATCAAGATCAATATCCTCCACCTCCATGTCTTCTTCAGTGTCTGACTCAAATTCAGGTGAGTTTCTTGAGTGGATTGATTTTTTGTGAAGATGCTGAATTTTCAATGCATGTTTCTTTCTTGGAGGATGCCCTTGGGGATGCTTTGAATGCTACATAATTTGGTAGCCCAGTATGTCATGGTTTGGAGATGCACCACCATTACAGCCTTGGTAATTTTTTTTGGGACTATTTAGGACTACCATTGAACTCAGATAAAAAAAATGGAGTTGATTGATGCTATTTTGGAGGCCCTACCATTTAATTTGGGGGTTGGCCAATTTTTTAAGGGTCAAAATCAATAAAATATAATTTACATGAGATTGGCTCATGGGATTTTGCTTGTAAGGAGCTCAAAATGCTCATTTACTGAATGCGCATCAATTCCGGTGGTTCCGGAGGGTGGGAAAATTAGTTGACTAAAATTGTTGACTTTGCTTGTCCGGCACTGTAAGCATATCAAGATCATCTCCAACAATCTTGTGCTTATTTATACATAGGCATGCCATATATATACCCTTGTCCTCACCCTTTACCTTACTAGTGGCCATTTGGAAAACCCCTCTCTCTTATTGGATCTGAATTATTGATAATTATTGATAATACTAATTTGAGCTAATTATGGCTGATTATTCATAATCATGTTTTTGATCAAATTTACCAATTAAGGTAGCATTGTCTATACTAGTAGAGTTCCATTGAATATTACACTCAATCATAGTTTTATATATTCTAAATCCAAATTGTGTAAGTGCCACAATTTGTTTTTACACTATATAAAGTGTATTATTTATTTTCCATTAGTTTATTATCTTCTTAGTTAGTGTTTAAACTAAATCCTGAAAGACCTGACTTTTTGGGTATTTATTGACCTGTTTATTTATTAGATAGAGGAAAGATAAATGTTGAATAAAATCAGAGATATTGAGGTTGCCTATATTATGTTTACTTATTTAGATTACCAAGTTAATATATTAAACCTTATGGCTTAGTGGCTTAGAGCATCTGTCCTGGGTGCTTGTATACATGAGGTTGTTGGTTCAACTTTGGCAAAAGACAAGTTTGTTATAAGGTATATTTTATGTTTAGGTATTTAACTAGTGCTCTAATAGACATGACTCTATAAGAAGGCTATGAGAACTGTGATGCTTGATTTATTATTATTATTCCGAAATTTCAAGTTATAATCAATCCTAATAATTCTTAATTTAGGAAAATTATATCTAATTAGAACAGGTTTAGAGGGAGGGGGTAAGCTAAAAATGTCTAGTCCTAGTCTTTCGTAACCTAGTATAGTAAGGCATCAATTATAGCTAATTAGAGCTTAATACAAGGGGATGGTTTTCCAAATGTAAAAGGAACAATAGAAGAAGCATTGCAGAATTTCCATCAAGCATATCCTAACAAACCTTGTCCTATAGAAATCAAATTGTAATCATATAGAGAGGGGAACAATTAACCTCCTCTTTATAACTAAGAGTCCAACCTCTGCCACCTCTCTAAACCTTCCTCATCACAATATGCTCTTTCATGACAACTCCACCTCCTCATCCCCTTCTAGGAACCCCTCCTCTAATATCATTTTGGCCATCACCAACCCTGATACTAGATAATTTGATGGTCTAGGACCCTCAAGTACTCCAAAGCTTCCCATCACCAAGTTATCCTTCCTTTCCCTCTCCTCAACCCCAAACAAGAATATTGAGGATGAGAAACAGAAAGGAAAGGAAAGTATTGAGTGACCAATATGGAGGAGCACTAGAAGTCTACCACAGGATAAGAATGTTAATAACAGAAACCCTAATGATCCTGGCAAATTTATAATTTGAGTTCTACATCCTATTGGAATTACAGAGGTTATTGGAGGCTCAACTTATATGGGATCACAACTGGGAGATAGTGATTAACAGTCAAGTGCTAGAGCAAATAGTGTGCTTCCAATTCTACTAGAAACTCCACCAAACACAGTACTAGTTAGTGAAAAGACTTTCCTAGCTATGGGAACCTCTTCCAATAGTATAAATTCTTACTCCAGAAAACTGGAACAACACACAGATGCTCTTTTCTAGTGAAATACCATCTTTATAGTAATATAAATGGTGACTGCCATGGCATTGCAACAACTTGCTAATTTCTTGGCAGGACAACTAGGAAATAAAAATAACATTCTCTGATGGTTGGCCAATGCAAGTCAACAAATCAAATGGCTTACACTGGATACACACTCTAATATTGCCATATAGGAAGAAAAAGAAAAAGAATGACCTTGAGCCTTCCTTATTCATCCTAATAAGTTTACCCTTGATATTAATGAGCATGCACCCACTATGGGGTCTGAGAGAGCTATTTAACAAGCTTTGAAGAGAGACCAAATAGCTCTAGATGAGTACTAAAGACACCGACTTGCACCAAACATAGTCAGTCTTCTATCCAAGTAACTGCAAGCTACTGAAGGAGATTCAGCAGCCTTGCATCAGTTTGCCCATATTTTACATACTTACCATGACTATGTAGGAGTATTATGATAGGAGCTCACAAGATTGAAGCCAGTAGTCTGTTTTGGCCAATATGCTCTATAAGTTAGTCAGTCCTTATCACTTATCTTTCTAACTTCTATATAGTTGGTCAGATAAAATCTTGTACTATTACTTGTCTATCCAAGTCATATATTTACCATTTCCTTATTTTTATTGGTTCTCCAACACCTATTCCTACTACTTACACTCAGATAATAAATACTGAATGAATGAGATTCTGTCATACCTAATAGACTTTTACCTTATCATTTTTAGGACCCATATGGACATTTCCCCTACCTTCTTATCCCTGCTGTTCACTGGGTCTTGGCACCTATTTGGTACTTATTCTCATTTCTCATCTTGATATTTTACTTAAAGGCTCTATTTACTATAAAACCCTATATACAACTCTAGAATAAACCAGCTTTTGCATCCCATAGTTTAGAGCTCATTCACACTCATCTTAGTTATTGAAATTATCTTTGTTAACTTTCAAAAGCTTGTTATCCTCATTATTTGGCCTTATTTGTATTTGTAATTATCCCTTGCTCATATCTCTTGTCCTCTCTTATATATTGTTAGTCTTGTATGGCTCTTGAAGCACTTAGTTGTTGGTTATGGCACTGCCTTCTTATTACTGACCAAATCTCTGACATAACTGACCAAATGTTTGGTTGGTGTTTAATGCAGTCCTGAAACTGTTTGGGCACTATGATCCTACATTCCCCATTGTTCCTTAGTGCACCTTCAATTTCTAAAGTCATTACTAATGATTCCTTGTATATTAGATACTAGCTCTAGTACCCTCTGTTCTAGAGATTGTTTT